ACTCTTAAAGCAAAGAATTTTCAACCCAGAATTTCATATCCAACCAAACTAAGTTTCATAAGTGAAGGAGAAATAAAATTCTTTACAGACAAGCAAATGCTGAGAGATTTTGTCACCACCAGGCCTGCCCTACAAGAGCTCCTGAAGGAAGCACTAAACATGGAAAGGAACAACTGGTACCAGCCACTGCAAAAACATGCCAAAATGTAAAGACCAGGAGGAAGAAACTGCATCAACTAATGAGCAAAATAACCAGCTAACATCATAATGACAGGATCAAATTTACACATAACAATATTAACCTTAAATGTAAATGGGCTAAATGCTCCAATTAAAAGACACAGATTGGCAAATTGGCAGATTGGATAAAGAGTCAAGACCCATCAGTGTGCTGTATTCAGGAGACCCATCTCATGTGCACAGACACACATAGGCTCAAAATAAACCGATGGAGGAAGATCTACCAAGCAAATGGAAAACAAAAAAAGGCAGGGGTTGCAATCCTAGTCTCCGATAAAACAGACTTTAAACCATCAAAGATCAAAAGAATCAAATAGATGCAATAAAAAATGATAAAGGAGATATCACCACCGACCCCACAGAAATACAAACTACCATCAGAGAATACTATAAACACCTCCATGCAAATAAACTAGAAAATCTAGAAGAAATGGATAAATTTCTGGACACATACACTCTCCCAAGACTGAACCAGGAAGAAGTTGAATCCCTGAATAGACCAATAACAGGCTCTGAAATAGAGGCAATAATTAATAGCCTACCAACAAAAAAAGTCCAGGACCAGGCGGATTCACAGCCAAATTCTACCAGAGATACAAGGAGGAGCTGGTACCATTCCTTCTGAAACTATTCCAATCAATAGAAAAAGAGGGAATCCTCCCTAACTCATTTTATGAGGCCAGCATCATCCTGAGACCAAAGCCTGGCAGAGACACAACAACAAAAAAGATAATTTTAGACCAATATTCCTCATGAATATCGATGCAAAAATCCTCAATAAAATACTGGCAAACCGAGTCCAGCAGCACATCAAAAAGCTTATCCGCTATGATCAAGTGGGCTTCATCCCTGGGATGCAAGGCTGGTTCAACATACACAAATCAGTAAATGTAATCCATCATATCAACAGAACTAAAGACAAAAACCACATGATTATCTCAATAGATGCAGAAAAGGCCTTTGACAAAATTCAACAGCCCTTCATGCGAAAAGCTCTCAATAAATTCGGTGTTGATGGAACGTATCTCAAACTAATAAGAGCTATTTATGACAAGCCCACAGCCAATATCATACTGAATGGGCAAAAACTGGAAGCATTCTCTTTGAAAACTGGCACAAGACAGGGATGCTCTCTCTCACTACTCCTATTCAACATAGTGTTGGAAGTTCTGGCCAGGAAATTCAGGCAGGAGAAAGAAATAAAGGGTATTCAATTAGGAAAAGAGGAAGTCAAATTGTCCCTGTTTGCAAATGACATGATTATATATTTAGAAAACCCCATTGTCTCAGCCCAAAATCTCCTTAAGCTGATAAGCAACTTCAGCAAAGTCTCAGGATACAAAATCAATGTGCAAAAATCACAAGCATTCCTATACACCAATAATAGACAAACAGAGAGCCAAATCATGAGTGAACTCCCATTCATAATTGCTTCAAATAGAATAAAATACCTATGAATCCAACTTACAAGGGATGTGAAGGACCTCTTCAAGGAGAACTACAAACCACTGCTCAGTGAAATAAAAGAGGACACAAACAAATGGAAGATCATTCCATGCTCATGCATGGGAAGAATCAGTATCATGAAAATGGCCATATTGCCCAAGGTAATTTATAGGTTCAATGCCATCACCATTAAGCTACCAATGACTTCCTTCACAGAATTGGAAATAACTACTTTAAAGTTCATATGGAACCAAAAAAGAACCCGCATCGCCAAGACAATCCTAAGCCAAAAGAACAAAGCTGGAGGCATCACGCTACCTGACTTCAAACTATACTATACGGCTACAGTAACCAAAACAGCATGGTACTGGTACCAAAACAGAGATATAGACCAATGGAACAGAACAGAGCCTTCAGAAATAATACCACACATCTACAACTATCTGATCTTTGACAAACCTGACAAAAACAGGAGATGGGGAAAGTATTCCCTATTTAATAAATGGTGCTGGGAAAATTGGATAGCCATAAGTAGAAAGCTGAAACTGGATCCCTTCCTTACACCTTATACGAAAATTAATTCAAGATGGATTAGAGATTTAAATGTTAGACCTAAAACCATAAAAACCCTAGAAGAAAACCTAGGCAATACCATTCAGGACATAGGCATGGGCAAGGGCTTCATGTCTAAAACACCAAAAGCAATGGCCACAGAAGCCAAACTTGACAAATGGGATCTAATTAAACTAAAGAGCTTCTGCACAGCAAAAGAAACTACCATCAGAGTGAATAGGCAACCTACAGAATGGGAGAACATTTTTGCAATCTACTCATCTGACAAAGGGCTAATATCCAGAACCTACGAAGAACTCAAACATATTTGCAAGAAAAAAACAACCCCATCAAAAAGTGGGCAAAGGATATGAACAGACATTTCTCAAAAGAAGACATTTATACAGCCAACAGACACATGAAAAAATGCTCATCATCACTCACCATCAGAGAAATGCAAATCAAAACCACAATGAGATACCATCTCATACCAGTTAGAATGGCGATCATTAAAAAATCAGGAAACAGCAGGTGCTGGAGAGGATGTGGAGAAACAGGAACACTTTTACACTGTTGGTGGGACTGTAAACTAGTTCAACCATTGTGGAAAACAGTGTGGCGATTCCTCAAGGATCTAGAACTAGAAATACCATTTGACCCAGCCATCCCATTATGGGGTATATACCCAAAGGATTATAAATCATGCTGCTATCAAGACACATGCACACATGTGTTTATTGTGGCACTATTCATAATAGCAAAGACTTGGAACCAACCCAAAGGTCCGTCAGTGACAGACTGGATTAAGAAAATGTGGCACATATACACCATGGAATACTGTGCAGTCGTAAAAAAGGATGAGTTCATGTCCTTTGTAGGGACATGGATGCAGCTGGAAACCATCATTCTCAGCAAACTATGGCAAGGACAGAAAACCAAACACCGCATGTTCTCACTCATAGGTGGGAATTGAACAGTGAGAACACTTGGACACAGGAAGGGGAACATCACATACCAGGGCCTGTCGTGCTGTGGGGGAAGGGGGAGGGATACCATTAGGAGATACACCTAATGTAAATGAAGCATTAATGGGTGCAGCACACCAACATGGCACATGTATACATATGTAACAAACTTGCACGTTGTGCACATGTACCCTAGAACTTAAAGTATAATTTAAAAAACAAAAGAAAACAAAACAGAAAAATAAACAATGTGAAAAATTTATATGCCATGTAAAATATAAAGAAATGACCAGGCGCGGTGGTTCACGCCTGTAATCCCGGCACTTTGGGAGGCTGGCGTGGGCGGATCACCTGAATTCAGAAGTTCGGGACCAGCCTGGCCAACATGGTGAAACCCCATCTCTACTAAAAGTACAAAAATTAGCCAGGCGTGGTGGTCCACATCTGTTATCCCAGCTACTTGGGAGGGTAAGGGAGGAGAATTGCTTGAACCTCAGAGGTGGAGTTTGCATTGCGCTGAGATTGCACCATTGCACTCCAGCACTCTAAGCAAAAAAATGTAAGCCTGGGGAACAGAGTGAGACTCTGTCTCAAAAAACCAAAAAACCAAAAACCATATGTATGTGTGTGTGTGTGTGTGTGTATATATATATATATATAAATGAAGAAAATGTGAGCACTGAATAAGATGAGAAGGAAGTTAAAAGGACAAGACTGAAAAAGAGAACCGAGTGTACAAATTTTCTTAATTGATGTGTTATCAATTAAAAGTGAAAGAAAAAAATGTTTATTACTATTTTTCACAAATAAACCAAAATCTTTAAATTTATTTTGGGGAGTGAGGTAGGATTAACAAAAGTGGGTAAGTTCAACAAGAAATGGGCAATATTTCATAAGTGTTTTGTAAAACATCAGTTTCATAAGTTGAAGTGTCCGTCTACATCCCTGTAGTGTGTGGCAGGATAGGTTTTTTTTTTTTTTTTTCACCCAGTATGTCTTAAAGACCTTAAAACTCAAAGCTTGTTTTCTGTATACCTAAGGCTTTTTGTAAATTAAAGATTTTGCTTATGTTTGATCTTTGATCATTAGATAAGTATAGGTAGTATTAAATAAAATCATACAACCGGATTTTAAAAATTTCTGTCTGTGTTAGTGCTAACTTAATTTCTAATAGGAAAGAAAAAAGCCAATAAAAGATCATCCTTCATTGTCTAGTATTAAGAGTTCTCAGGTCTTTGATTCATAGAGACAGCTTGAAGCTAAGATATAAGATTATGATTAATGTGAAAATATTTGGACTATGAGCCTTTAAAATCAAAGATTAGCTGATAACTTCGTATAGATGTTATTACTATTGGAATACTAGTGAATTAATGCTATTCTACTAAATAGTATAGATTTATCTGGGAGGCCTGCAATAAACTTAAAGTGTACATATCCCACTGAAATAAGAATACTACAAATATAGCCTCCTTCCTAGATTCTCTCCCTTCACTATCATAGTTAAAAATAGGTAGCGAGGTGAAATATAGTTGTTTTTTTTTTTAAAGTTTATAATAAGTACCTGAGCATCTGGTGTTTGCTAAAGTAATTCAAAGTAGGTATGTTGCATTTCATATGTTAGCATACAAACTGCCTATTTAGGATAATATTGCTGTTTTTTATTAAGTGCAGAAAACACTATTATAAGTAGTTAAATGACTTGTTACTGGGTTTGTTTGCATGTATATAGAATTGATGTGGAAATTTTAAACACTATTAAATGCATTTTCCTAAAATATGTTTTTTAAAATACAGATATTTCACAGTTCTTGCCGAGTGCTTCACTTTTTCACTAGAAGTAAACGACTTTTTGCAGCCAGTTTGTTCACTTTCACAACCCAGCAGACGTCTTTGAGATTGGTCTGGATTTTACAGAACCTGATTGAGGTAAGAAAATACTGTGTGTGTGTGTAAACCATATGAAGACTCCGGGGAAGAAAAAATTAAAGGAATAAAGATAGTAATTTGATTATTTGAGGAAAAATTGTCTACCACATATTGGAATGGAAGACAATGTGGCATCTTGTTTTTGTTTGTTTGTTTGTTTTGCTTTTTTTTTTTTTTTTTTTTGAGACAGAGTTTTGCTCTTGTTGCTCAGGCTGAAGTGCAATGGCACGATCTCAGCTCACTGCAATCTCTGGCTCCCAGGTTCAAGTGATTCTCCTGCCACAGCCTCCGGAGTACCTGGGATTACAGGTGCCCACCACCACACCCAGCTAATTTTTTGTATTTTTTGTAGAGACGAGATTTCACCATGTTGGCCAGGCTGGTCACAAACTCCTGACCTCAGGTGATCCATCTGCCTCAGCCTCTCAAAGTGCTGGGATTACAGGCGTGAGCCACCATATGGATTACAGGCATGAGCCATATCTTTGATTTATATCAGTGGAATTCTTTTGTGTCAGACTCCTTTTGCTCAACATCATGTTTTTGACATATAGCAATGTTGTGTGTAAATTACTTTGCTTATATTTTCATTGCTATTTGCTGTTCAATGTATGATTTTACCATAGTTTATTGTCTATTCTATTCATGTACATTTGGGTTATTTCCTGTTTTTAGCTGTTATGATTAATGCATCTCTTGGTGTATATGTAATTGCTATGTCTATACATAGGAATGGAATTTTTAGGGCATGAATGTTTATATATGTCTTCACTTTTTTTTTTTTTTTTTTTTTTTTGAGACGGAGTCTCACTCTGTCACCCAGGCTGGAGTGCAATGTGTGATCTCGGCTCACTGTAACTTCTGCCTCCCAGGTTCAAGCGATTCTCCTGCCTCAGCCTCCTGAATAGCTGGGATTACAGGCGCAGGCCATCATGCCCAGCTAGTTTTTGTATTTTTAGTAGAGATGGGGTTTCACCATGTTGGCCAGGCTGGTCTTGAACTCCTGACCTCATGATCCGCCCGCCTCGGCCTCCGAAAGTGCTAGGATTACAAGCATGAGTCACCACGCCCAGCCATATATCTTTATCTTTAATGGATAATGTCAAAACACTTTTGCAAAGTGATAATAAGAATTTACACACTCTCTATCAGTATGTGATCAGAGGACTTTTTATTTCATTTACGATTGTAATTGACATTGTTAGTTTTTTATATTTTAGCCATCCTAGTTGGTAAGTAATAATATCTGAGTGTGATATTAGACTGGATAAAAAAACAAGATCTAACTATATGTTGTCTATAAGGGGCACACTTTAGATTTAAAAAATATAAAGAGGTTAAAAGTGAGTGGAAAAGATATGTAAACAGTCACTGTATCATGTAAACAGTTACATATATCATGTAAACAGTCACTATAAGAAACCGGAGTGGCCGGGCGCGGTGGCTCACGCCTGTAATCCCTGCACTTTGGGAGGCCGAGGCGGGCGGATCACGAGGTCAGTAGATCGAGACCATCCTGGCTAACACGGTGAAACCCCGTCTCTACTAAAATACAAAAAATTAGCCGGGCGCGGTGGCGGGCCCCTGTGGTCCCAGCTACTTGGGAGGCTGAGGCGGGAGAATGGCGCAAACCCGGGAGGCGGAGCTTGCAGTGAGCCGAGATGGTGCCACTGCACTCCAGCCTGGGCGACAGAGTGAAGACTCCGCCTCAAAAAAAAAAAAAAAAAAAAAAAAAGAAACCGGAGTGGTTATATTAACATCAGACAGTATAGACTTTAAAACAAAAATATGTTACTAGAGATAAAAAGGGAATTTTACAATGATAAGATGGTCAATTCATCATAAATATATAACAGTTATAAACACCTAATAACAGAGGTCCACACTACATGAAGCAAAAATGGACAGAATTGAAGGGAAAAATAGACAGTCGAGCAGGAGAGTTGGAGGCTTCAGTGCCCCACTTTCTTTTTTTTTTTCCTTTTTTTTTTTGAGACGGAATCTCGCTCTGTCACCCAGGCTGGAGTGCAGTGGCATGATCTCGGCTCACTGCGAGCTCCAGCTCCTGGGTTCACGTCATTCTTCTGCCTCAGCCTCCCAGGTAGCTGGGACTACAGGAGCCCGCCACCACGCCCGGCTAATTTTTTGTATATTTAGTAGAGATGGGGTTTCACCGTGTTAGCCAGGAGAGTCTTGATCTCCTAACCTCATGATCCACCTGCCTCGGCCTCCCAAAGTGCTGGGATTACAGGCGAGAGCCACTGTGCTTGGCCCTCACTTTCAGTAATGAATAGAATAACTAGACAGAAGATTAACAAGGAAATAGAAAGTTGATTAACAGTAACAACTAACTAGACCTAACAGACATTTATAGAAAACTCTACCCAAGAACAGAATATACATTCTCCTGAAGTGTACATGGAACTTTCTCCAGGATAGATCATAGGCTAGGCCATACTACAAGCCTCAGTAAATTTAAAGGGATTGAAATCATATGAAGTCTGTTGTCTGACCATAAAGGCTTCAAATTAAAAGTAACAGAAAAAACTTGGGAAGTTCTAAAATACATGAAGATTAAACAACATACTTAAAAATAACCAATGGGTCCAAGAAGAAATCGTAAGAGAAAATTAAGAAATACTTTGAGATGAATGAAAATAAGATACAACATACCAAAACTTATTAGATGCAGATAAAGTACTTAGAAGGAAATTTATAGTAAGACTATATTACATGTAGAAGAGTATATTTAAAAAGAAGAAAAATATCAAGTCAATAATCTACCATTCTACCTTACGACATGGAAAATGATGAGCAAACTAAATCCAAAACAAGCAGAAGGAAAGAAATAATTGAATTAGAGCAAAATTAATGCAATAGAGAATAGAAAAACAGTGAAGAAAAATCAATAAAATCAAAAGTTGCTTCTTTGAAAAGATTAGCTAAACTGACAAAGACAAGAGAGAAAACCCAAATAACTAAAATTATGAATTATTATGAAATTATGGATATTAATACTGACCTCACAGAAATACAAAGCATTAATAGGCAATACCGTGAACAAGTGCATGCCAACAAATTAGATAACCAAGATAAAATGAAAAATTTCCTAGAAGTAACACAAACTACTGGAAATAACTCAAGAAGAAATAAATAATCTGAATAAATCTATAACAAGTAAAGAGATTGAAGTAATAAATAATAAATTCTCACCTAGAAAAGCCCAGAGCCAGATGGCTTTACTAGTGAATTCTACCAAAAGTTTAAAGAAGAATTAACACAATCCTTTCACAACTTCTTCCAAAAAATAGAAAGGGAAAATAGACAATTGAATAGTAATAGTTGGAGACTTTAATACCCCATCAATAGTGGATTATACTTCCATTATTGGAGTGAGAGATACTTCCCAGCTCTTTCTTTTAGGCCATTATTCTCTGATAACCAAATCAAAGACATCAAGAGAAAATAAACTGACAGACCAATATTCCTTATGAATACAAATGCAGAAATCCTCAACAAGGCTGGGTGTGGTGGCTCATGCCTGTAATCCCAGCACTTTGGGGGTCTAAGGCAAGAGGATTGCTTGAACCCAGAAGTTCAAGACCTGCCTGGGCAATATAGCAAGACACCATCTCTCCAAAAAAATTAAAAATTAAAAAATTAGCTGGGTATAGTAATACATACCTGTAGTCCCAGCTACTTGGGAGACTGGCATGGGAGGATTGCTTACCCCGGAGTTTGAGACAGCAATGATCTAGGATCACACCACCACTGCACTCCAGCTTGGATGACAGAGCAAGACCCTGTCTCTGGAAAAAAACCGCACACACCCACAAAACTTCAGCAAAATATTAGCAAGTCAAATCCAGCAACATATAAAAAGGATTATATATCATGACTAAGTGGGATTTATCCCAAGAATACAGGATTGGTTTAGCATTCAAAAATCGATTAATATGGATCTTTTATTAAAACTGGTAAATGAGAAAAATAGAAAATTAATATACACCATATTAATAGGATAAAGGACAAAAAAAAGATCATGTCAGTAGATGTAGAAAAAAGTGTTTGACAATATCTAGTGCCTGATAAAATGCTCAACACACTAGGAATAGAAGGAAAGTGCTTCAATGTGATCTGTGAAAAACTCACAGCCAACACCATAGTTAATAGTCAAAGACTGAATGTTTTTCTCCTAAGTTCGGGAATAAGACAAAGATGTCCACTCTCACCACTTCTAATTAACATTGTATGAGAGGTTCTAAGCCGGGGCAGTTGAACAAGACAATGTAATAAAAGGCAACTAGATTGGAAAGGAAGGAGTAAAACTATCTCTATGATGCAGATGACATGATCTTGTATATTGAAAATCCTAAGGAATTTCCTAAAAAAAATTAGCACTAATATTATAAATGAGTGTAGTAAGGTCAGAGGGTATAAGATCAATATACAAAAAAAAAAAAAAATTCTTTTTTGAGACAGTCTGTCACCCAGGCTTGAGTACAGTGGCACAATAGCAGTCACTATAGCCTCAACCTCCAGGCTGAAGAGATCCTCTTACTTCAGCCTCCTGAGTAGCTGGGACTACAGGCGCACACCACTATGCCCAGTTAAGTTTTTTTTTTTTTCTGAGACGGAGTCTTACTCTGTCATCCAGTCGGGAGTGCGGTGGCATGATCTTGGCTTACTGCAACCTCTGCCTCCCAGGCTCAAGCGATTCTCCTGCCTCAGCCTCCCAAGTAGCTGGGACTACAGGCGTGCACCACAATGCCCAGATAACTTTTGTATTTTTAGTAGAGACGGAGTTTCACCATGTTGGCCAGGCTGGTCTCGAACTCCTGACGTTAAGTGATCCGCCCACCTCGACCTCCCAAAGTGTTGGGATTACAGGTGTGAGTCACTGTGCCTGGCCCCAGTTAATTTTTAAAATTTTTGTAGAAACAAAGTCTCACTATTTTGTCCTAGCTGCTCTTGAACTCCTGAGCTCCAGTAATCTTTCC